AAAAGGTTAAAAAAATTAAAAAGTTTATAAAGTAAAAAAGCTACAGTAAGCTAAGGTTAACTTGTTAATTAAAGAAAATTTGTTTTAATACATCTAGTGTAGCCTAAGTGAACAGTGTTTTTATAAAGTCTATAGTAGAGTACAGTAATGTCCTAGGCCTCCACATTCACTCACCACTTAACTCACGGACTTACCCAGAGCAACGTCCAGTCCTGCAAGATCTATTCATGGTAAATGCCCTATACAAGTGTACCACTTTTTATCTTTTATACTGTATTTTTACTGTACCTTTTTTATGTTTAGTTAGATATGTTTAGATATACACATACTTACTATGGTGTTACAACTGCCTGCAATATTCAGTATAGCAACATGCTGTACATGTTTATAACACAGGAGCAACAGGCTGTACCGTATAGCCTAGGTGTTTAGTAGGCTATGCCATCTAGGTTTGTGTAAGTACACTCTACGATGTTTGCACATGGATGAAATTGTCTACAGACACATTTCTGAGAACTATGCCTGTTGTTAAGCCACCCATGACTGTACTTTAAAATGGTTAAAATGGATAATTTTATGTCTGTTTTACAATAAACAAAACAAAAAAGGTTTCAACGACATCAGGGAAACGCTGTATTATATCTCTTCCCATGTTCATCATATGAATTCAAATATTAAAAGCTCTAAGAATTCCTGTAGTACAGAAATCTGTAGAACTTTATATAAGTCAGTATTTCTCCAACTTATCACATTTCCATAAATCGAAGACACATAATTTCCTAATGTTTCTGAAATAGGAATAAATCTTTACAATTTATGTGTACAGTTGCTGTAGTGGTATTTTTTGTATGCTTAGAAGTGATAATTAAGTTGCAGTGCATTTTATTATCAATTGGCCTCTTCACATCACAAATTATGGAATTTTACTGCAGAATCCTTTGTTTGAGGCTCATCGTCTACTAACACCTCAGTCTGCTGCTTAGAGTGGTAGTCTCCAAACCAGAACTTGTTTACCATCCTTTCATAATTTTACATGGATAAATATCTACATAAAACAATGTACATAATATATGGACAACACAAATGTACATAATATATAAAGAAAAATCTATCTCTACATACTAAAACAACATGCATAATATCTAAGGCCAGTAGTAGTTTTGAAAAATTCAGAGACTACTCTTCCAGGGCTGTCTGCTCTTGTATAGCTACCAAGATCTAGAGTTGAAACTCTGCTCTAACACCAGTTTACCATCTCTCTCTCCAGATGAAATGTGAATTTGGCCAGGGGCA